TATTTAAGCTTAAAAACAAACCGAGCTAAACCCAAGTTTAACTTATTTTTCCAACAATAAATTAGTTGGATAACTTGAAATTTGTGCCCATTAGATAGACCTTATTAATCACCCTAACGAACCAACACGTGACTTTTTGACGAGTATTTTCATTTACGTCATTACATGTGTGTCACGGTACTTGTACCAATATATAACAATTAACAAGTCGTAAGATCAAGAAAATTCTATTCTAAAGTCAACAACTTCCCACCTTTATAAATATTATATTATATTATATATATTAAACGGTAATGCTCTCCTACCCACGGCGACCACATATCAATATGGCCACCCTTTATGTAGCATGTACACATTGGTGATGTTAATATATTTAAAAAAATATATTACCAATATATGCATGACACATAAACGGTAGATATATTAGCATGTGGTATAACAGTATTCCTCTAAACTTGATCTCAAGTTTGAAAATATCTCTCTCATTATATATGTATATATATTAATTATGTTTGTATATATAGATCCGAAATTTAAAAAGAATCCTAGGAATTTAAAAATAGGAAAAATAAAAAAAGTAGGAAAAAAAGTAAAGAAAAAAAGGAAAGGCAGAAGAAGAAAGTCATAAAGTGGGTCTCAAGATGCTTATCCCTTTCCATCTTTCTATAAATTGAATTGAATAACACATCTCCACTACCCCAAACTGAAAACTCACTGACTCCCCCTAATTACATTTCCAGTCCTCGTAATATCTCTTTATTACACAGATGCCTCCAACTCCAAGCGTCAAAGTTGGGCATATTCATGATGTCCAAGAACTGGGAAGAAACAAATCATCAGAAATCCCTGAAAGATTTATCAGGGACACTTCTGAGCGGCCATCTCTCGATGATCAGCAGCAGCAGCAGTCCTTTTCTTGTGACAACAACATACCTATTATCGATCTCTCAAAACTTGTCAAGGAAAATAAAGACGACGATGATGATTTTTGTACTGAGATAATGAAGCTCACAACAGCATGTCAAGACTGGGGATTTTTCCAGGTTATTATTACTATTGCTATTGTTGTTATTATTACTATTGGGGAATTTTTTTGTCGGGTTTTAACCGTTACATCATCATGTAACCGGCGGGATAGTTAGATCTAACGGTTACAAATATGGCAGGTGATGAACCATGGAATTGAAGTGGAGTTGCTAGAAAGAATGGAAAAAGTGGCCATGGAATTTTTCAACTTGCCTTTGGAGGAGAAGAAAAAGTATCCAATGGCTCCAGGGACAGTGCAAGGGTATGGGCAAGCGTTTATTTTCTCAGAGGACCAAAAGTTGGATTGGTGCAATATGTTTGCACTTGGGTTGGAGCCCAAGTTTGTTAGGAACCCAAAGCTTTGGCCAACTAAACCCTCTGATTTCAGGTATAACATTTAAAATTAATACATTATTGGAAGATGCTACGGTTCCGTTATGGAATCATTTCGTTAGAGTTTGTAGCCGTTAGATCAACTATCCCGAACGATTATATGACGAGCTAATGGTTACAAACCCAACGGAATAGTTGCGTAACAAGACTTAATCATTTCCATACATAATTATTTAGATAAACTTATATTCAGTTTTTACTTGTAACTTACTTATTTTTGTTGATTTTAGTGATATTCATAAGAAAAGTAGCATATTAATGATTTTTTAATTTTCAAAATGTAATAAACACGGTACTGATCCGATTATCTGGTGAATTGTCACTCTTCGGCCAAACTTGAAAACTTTAGTTTTATTCAACGAGGAATTATTATTATTATTATTATTATTATTATTATTATTATTATTATTATTATTATTATTATTATTATGCATCATGTGAGGACAACGGGAACCAATATATGGATATTGTGAGCTTCTTGACTAGATATTTTTCAAAAATCATTTTACTAAAAATAATATTTTATTATACCTAAAATTTATGTGCATTGCATCGTTGTTATAGGCTATGTTTGATAGGCTAGCTGATAGGTCAACAGTAATTTTAGAGCTTATAACTTGTAACTTATGATTTATAGCAGAAAAACTAGCATATATGATAAAAGTGTTATGTAAAATTAGCTGATAAACTAGTTGAAAAAAAAAATCAACGAGCTTATTTAAAAAAGCTACCCAAATACGCTTATGAGAAAAGCTCGAACTTTTGAAAAAAACTCGTCCTACCAAACGAAATTTATAAAAATACAGAAAGCTTATAAACTAGTTTTATTTATTAATTTCGATATACAACATATATAACAGAGTTTCAAGTCAAGACATATTAACATTTTCCCATATCATTTACTTGGATGATGTATGAGACATATTTATTTTGTGTATGTATTTAATATTTTCCCAAAAAAAAAAAAAATGTATGTGGCAGTGAAACACTAGAGATATATTCGAGAGAAATACGGAAATTAAGCAAGAAATTGCTCAAGTGCATAGCTACTACACTGAGTTTAAAAGATGAAGTTTTTGAGGAGATGTTCGGGGAGAGTGTCCAAGCCGTGCGGATGAATTACTACCCAGCATGCCCCAGGCCCGATCTCGTTTTGGGCCTCAGCCCACATTCTGATGGAAGTGCTATTACCGTTTTGCAGCAAGGTAAAGGAAACCCAGTTGGGCTTCAGATTCTTAAAGACAACGGTTGGGTATCCGTTCAACCCATTCCCAATGCTCTAGTCATCAACATTGGTGATACACTTGAGGTAAAAAAAAATAAATAAATTACTCACTTTTTTATTTTTAATTTTTTTTATACTGTCAAGTTCTAATTAAAGAACTTTACTCAAGTTAAATAATCTAACCTAAGTTTCTATAATTAATTTTTGGCAAAATTGTCATTATATATTTTTTGAAATTGTAATTTAATCACGGCTTATTTACTTTTGTAAATCACATCACAATGTCCAGTTTGTTGCAAATTGTCGCACCGATTTGCATATCTCGTGCAAACTATATCACAATTTTCAGTTTGTTGTTCGACCACATTTGTTTTTCTACGACTGTTTTCAGACTGTTTGCTACAAACTAAAGATTGTGATATAATTTGCAAAAAGTGAAAAGGTCACGATTAAATTGCCAACTTCGATAAAGATCGTAATATTAGAGGCAAATTTAAATTGATAAAGTTTTGAAACACATTTAAAACAGGTGCTAACGAATGGGAGATACAAGAGTGTGGAACATAGGGCAGTGGCAAACAAAGAAAAAGACAGGCTATCGATTGTGACATTTTATGCTCCAAATTATGAAATGGAAGTTGGGCCAATGAAAGAAATGGTGGACGACAACAACCCCTGCAAATACAGAAGGTACAATCATGGAGAGTACAACAAACATTACGTTACCAGCAAGCTTGAAGGCAAGAAAACACTTGATTTTGCCAAGATTATCAACAAATGATTATGAGCATCTCCCTAATTAGTGCAATAATAGATTGGTTTCCTTTTTTCATCAAGTTACTAGTGTTCTGTTTCCATATAATATAGCACATCGCAACTTAACTTGTGTGTTCTGTAAAAATATTTTAACTTTATGCTAATATTAATAAAGTCGTCATATAGCTACTATGATGCTAAATTTTATTATATAATAAAAATGAATATTGTTAAATAGTGTAGTAGAATTGTTATAAAATTATATGATTTTTTTTTTTTTTTTTTACAATATGGATTTAATATCTTTTTATGATTTGATAATATAAGTATAATTTATTCTTAATGATATAATGGTTTACTTTAGTATAGCTAGAATGTTGGTTGCAAATAGAAATAAAAAAAAGAATCTATTAGATGCAGTCAACATTCTGCTATAAGATAAAAGTTTTCTCGTTATGATGAGGTTTTTTTATCCATCATGTTCTTCTACACATCTATTAGATTAGATGCAGCCAACATTCTGCTATAAGATAAAAGTTTCTTCGGAGCGGGATGCATGTCACATGTCATCTAAACTTTTTGATTTTTTTTAGTTTGTTACTTTTTATAATCACAAATTTAACTGTGTGAATTGATTTACAACATACTCTTCATTCAATTTTACAACATACTCTACATTCAATTAAGACTGATTTTCATTTGCTAATGATTTATAAAGTTTGATTATTAATTTGATCAAAGATTTTTGCTTATTGACTTATTAAGTTTGATTATTTTTTTGACCAAACATGAAAGATGAACTTGTTGGATCAATGTTGTTGATCTAAACAAACATAAAAGCTTTTCATAATATTTTTTTAGCCTTTATCAGTTTGTGACGTTTTATCAGTGTAGGAAACATTTTCATGATTTTTTTATTTATTTCACGATTTGTTGATTCATTAAGCTTTGAACAATCTATGAAAACTATTAAGCCGTCTTCTGACAAATATGTATGTAGTTATGTGTTTGTGTCTCATAAGTCACAAACATAATGAATAACATTACAAATTATTCATTCAAACTTTTATTCATTGCAAATATATTTAAATAGTTTATACAACATCCATTAAATAACACTTTCAATATATTTATAAATAAAAAGTACATAAATTTCTAGTGTGTTCACATTTAAATAATTTTTTATGGGCTCAATTTTAAACCATCCGAACATTTGGTCAAATGCATAAGTGTGTTCAAATTTAAATCATTAGCATTTTTTTCGGTTGAAATTTAAATCATCTACCATAATGCTATAATGTGTATAATATATATATATATATATTAACAAATAATATGTGCTTTATAAAAATAATAATAACAATTTCATAAGATTTTAAACGTAAAATCTAATTTTTAATCACAATAGAAAAATCATGGTAAGTTGTATTGAAAAGGTGTTATGGAATAAAACAATTAAATAAAATAATTAAATAAAATACTTGATGGAAATAGAATGCATTAATTACCTTTGACTTTTCTTACTACTAATTCTAGTAAATAGGATGACTTTTTATATAAGGATAGATTTTCAACCATGTGATTAATTTCAATTTAAGTTTTATTTTAGGCATTTTAAGTTTTTAAAATTGTAATCGCAACATCTATATTATCTCCTAGAATATATTAAGTTTTATTTTACGTTTTCTGAATGTTAGAATATATTTTGTATATATCTTGTAGGATTAGGTTTAGGCTCATTATGTTCCTATGTGTACATGTCTTGTGAATAATATAGAACATATATTTTTCCCACTTTCTTACTCTTTTTCTGCTTCTGCCACCGATAGTAAGTCTAGTTTCCAGTGGCATCTTAGTCTTGGGCATGCGTCTTCGATTAAAGTTCGTTCTTTATATAATAAGCGTCTTTTGGGTTCAGGTCATTTTGAGTCTTTTAGTTGTCTTCATTGCAAACTTGGGAAACAACCGGTTCTTTCTTTTTCTGATAGTTTGTCTACTGCGGATAAACCTTTTGATTTGGTACATTCTGATATTTGGGGTCCTTCTCATGTTGCTTCTTGAGTGGTTTTCGGTATTTTGTTATTTTTGTTGATGATTTTTCTCGTTTTACCTGGATCTATTTTCTCAAAAATCGTTATGAGTTGTCCAGCATATATGTTCAATTTGCTAAAATGATTCTTACACAATTTTCTTGTCCTATAAAGGTCTTGCATACTGACAATGCTCTTGAGTACAAAAATTCTACTTTTTTTAAATTTCTTTCTGATCAGGGCACCTTAGTTCAGCGTTCGTGTCCATATACTTCCCAACAAAATGGACGAGCTTAACGTAAGCACCGTCACATTCTTGATATTGTCTGTGCGCTTCTTCTTTCTGCTCAGTGTCCTGATCATTTTTGGGGTGAGGCAGCCTTGACAGTTGTTTATGCTATCAATCGGTTACCCTCATCAGTCATTAGGGATGTCAGTCCTTTTGAGAAGTTGTAGTCAGTCTCCTGATTATACTCAGTTATGTCCTTTTGGTTATGCTTGCTTTGTTCTTCTTCCGTCCCATGAGCAGACCAAATTAGAACCCCGAGCTCGTCTGTGTTGTTTTTTGGGTTATGGGGTAGAACACTGTTTGTTATGTTTTTGTGTGCTTTTCTTGTGTTTTTATTTGCTTGAATCGAGTATTTTTAGGTTCGGTTTGTGCGTTCCGGTCCATTTTGTGTTCGTTTTAGTAGCTTTCCGTTTTTTTTAGTTGTTTTTGTATATATTTCTATCTTCCTTGTGCATTTTGGTGTTTTGTAGGCCCGGAAGGAAGAATCATTTCGTGATGTGTCGTCCAAGCCGACCGAGTCGATCGAGTTGCCCGAGTCGCCCGAGCCGTTATCGAGTCATTACCGTGCCGAAAGTCTAGTTCGCCTAGCGAACGTATTCGCCGCATAGCGAGTGTTCACAAGACTCATAGGGCCAGTCCGCATAGCGAATGAGTTCGCCGCCTAGCGAGTGTGCACAACTACAAGACCAGTTCGCCTAGCGAGCTAGTTCGCTACCTAGCGAGTGCTAAATTTTTAAATGTGTGTGCACCTAGTGTGTGTTTTTGTAGAAGACTATAAATATGTTTTTTTCTTTGTATTTTGGGGATCCAACTTTCATTTTCCACTTTTCCCACTTTGGGAAATTAGCTTATGTTTTATTTTGCTCTCTAGATTAGGAGCTTATGTCATTTTCCGGGAGATTTTCCGGCGACTTCGGTTTCTTTCAAGTTTCGAGCTTTTGACTCCGTTTTTCATCGTCTACGCAATGGAAGAATGAGTATTTAGTTTTAAAGCTCTTTACTTCGGTTTTTTCTCCGCTTTTACTTATAATGTTCATTAGGGTAAATTTGGATTTGATTGATGATGGAGGAAATGCTTGAATTTGCTTGCTTGCTTGAGTAGATAGAGTCGTTAATTGCTCGTTGATCTCGGTTAGACGACTAGGGTTAGCAATCTAATGCTCGTAGCTCATTTATTCCGAATGTCGATTGATTATCATCCCGTTATGGTTATGGCATGAGACTCCGGTGATCTAGTTAGCTAATTGCTCGTCATTTGATCTTGCTTTTAATTAATTGCTCGTTTTTAAGTGCTCGATTAGTGTTAATCAACCATCCAATCAATTGCTTAAAATGTTTAGGATTTTATTTTTCCTTTTTGTTATTTTGGACGATCATCTAGTAGATAAAGCTCCGAATAGCCTTCCTTCGAGATCGACCCGATTCGGGTAACTCGGTTATCCCTTGCCCATCAAATATATACCAAACAAACACAATGGATTTAGGTGTTGGGATCCGATTTCTAATCGGTTGCGTATCTCGCGTCATGTTACCTTTTGGGAGCATACTACATTTTCCTCCTTGTCTAAGTTCCACATTCCGTCTGATTCGGCGTCTCCTTTATTCATGTGTATTACTTCAGATCTTTTTCCAGATACAAATACAGGTTCTGACTCACAGCTAAATATATAAAATATATAAAATATATATTTTCTAAATTATACTTTGTCATTAATGTCTTAACTAGATTATCAATTAGTTCACATCCTTTTTCATGTTTGACACTAATTAGTCTTATCTCAAAAACTAAAAATCTCCAAAAAAAATTCACAGTTTAGTCCTTGACACCTCTGCACTGTCAATTATAAAATACTACCTCCTATGTTTCTTAAATGTCATTTTGTCTTGATCAACAATTAACTAAATAAATGACGTTTTGGATCTTTTGTACATATTTTTCCATTATTACTCTCATCTAGCTATTAAATACACTACGAATTTTCATATTCACTCTTCATCTTTTTTCAAAACATTTGAGGGTTATTATTGAGAAAAAAAGTTTCTTAATTACTGTGTAACTTTTAAAAAAAGTATTATTTAAAAATAAAAGGGAGTAATAGTTAAGATTATTGCTAATTGGCTTTAGGGTGTCCTTCACATTTGCATATCTCCAACTCAATTTGCTTTAATGTTAAAAAGACAAATCTTAGACAATGCAGTTATTTCCAATGAGTGTGTGCATTTACTCAATAACAAAAGAAAGTGTGGGAATTGCTTTAGGGCCCTCAAATTGGATATGGCAAAAACATATGACATGGTGAAGTGGTCTTTTATTTCCTTATCTGTAAATAAAAAAAAAAAAAACAAAAAGGCTTTTACATAAATTCATATCTTGGTTGTTAGCTTGCAGTTGTTCCACCTCCTTTTTCTATTAACCTTTGTGGTATACCTTTTGGTTTTTTGCTCCCCTTCGAGGTAGGGGATCCTTTTTATTATTTTGTTTGAGGCTTTGTCTAACCTCATCCATCGAGTCTGTGTAAATAGGTATTTTCAAGGTATTAAAGTACGCAGAAATGCTCCTAGAATAAGCCATTGTTTTTTGCTAATGATGTGATCCTCTTTTGTAAAGATTATATTTTGCATGCTTTTCTTCTTTCTGAAGTTATGTTTTATTATTGCTCTTCCTATGGTAAAAAAGTCAATTTTGACAAATCTTATGTGTTCTTC